ACCCATATATCAACTCAAATAATTAACAAGCTAAACAATATCTTGTAAATCCCGACTAATTATTGCTGCTTTGACTCTCCCAAGCTCTTTGCTCCCAAATCTCAACTTGCTTGATGGAATTAGCTTTCCTCCTTTGGAGCACTCTGAGCTCCATAGGACTAAAGGGAGGAGAAAGAGAGCATGGTGGAGAAGCATGTGGTGACTTCACCATGGAATCCATCATGAACTGTTTTGTAAGATTTTCGGCCGAACAGGCCATGGTTTCTGCACATAGCTCGATGGTCCGACGAGGTTTTGTGGGCTTAAATTTTAAGAGCTTTGCATATTCGTTGAGGAGGTGAAACATGTAATCGTAGACGTAATCCATCTTCAGCTTCTCGTGAATGAAGTCGCTGGCTTCGTTCCCTATAGCTTGAGCCTGAACACAAAATAAATAGCTACTTTTCACAATATTCTTTATAACAAAATGCAAATAAATTTTTATAAAAAATTGTTAAGCCAAAAATTCCAACTTCTTCTAAGATTATTATGACAATGATAACATTCTGTTGGTGTTTGATACTGTAATAACTTTTTCTGCTTTTCCTGTTGTGATATGCCTCGCTTAGGGGCGGATCCAACTTCTTTTTTTAGGGTGGGTAAATTTTTATTATTGGGGTGGGGGGATTCCAAATTTAGACTTAAGCTTGAGTTGTGAGCTTGAGTGAAAAGTGTAGCTCATTAGAGAAGCATTGATGAGACATGGCGCGGCTCTCAATAGTGTGTGTTGGAGAGGTATAATCGTGACTTATGAGAAGGCTGCGAAGTGAGAAATTGAGAGCGATTCTTGAACGTCAAATGTGACTGGAAGAGGGCTGCAAGGGGGCTACGAAGACCAAGGCTTCGAAGATGAAGGCGGCGACATCTTGAACGTCAAAGACGAGGAAGAAAAAAATTTGCAAAAGCGGCTTCGAAGTGCGTACTGACGTCTGACGAGATGGGAAATGACACTTAGGATTGATAAAATTAGGACAAAAGTAATTTTGGGGGGTGGAGGGGGTAAAATACCTCATGTAATACTTTTTTTTATGCCTACCCTGACTATAAGGGGGATCCGCCCATGTATGTGCTGCCTAAAGACTATGGCTATGTTTGAAACGGCTTTTTTACTATTTCTTAAAGTAGCCTTTAAATACAAAAATTAAAATTTTCTATTAAAAAGGTGCTTTTAAGAAGCATTAAGAAAGCCCTCCCAAACAAAGCCTATAATCACAGAGATACATTGGAGAAGAGCAAAAGCTGCTTCATGCAATGCGTTTTTTTACTTTCTCTAAGCCAAGCAAAGAACTCGATATATAAATGCAGAAACATGCCTTCCTTTTGTGAGAATTAGCCCAATCAACTGCAAATTTGATAGACCTGCACTTCTCATCTTGTCGAACAGGCCAATAGTGCTGCACTGGCATCAGCCCTCTCGTGAAGAAATCATAGTACTGTGGCTTCACAATCAACGCCATGGAATTGCATGCTAATATATACTTCTCGCTCACCGACCATGCAGAACCTTCTATATATATCTTATACCTTCATTGATTTTTTACCATAATTAGTAATGTTTATGAAGAAGCTTATCAAACAGTTAGATCAGTTAGTTAATCACCTATGATTGCATTGACTTGCCAAGTTCGATTCGTTGAACCCTTTATGAGTCTCACTTTGCCAATCCTATTAAAGAACAAATAGGTTGGTTATATGCATATATATTGCACTCATCTTAAAGCAGATGTTCGTAATACCTGGACGTAGAGACGGGCATTCCAGTCATGAGATTGAGAGACATTGCAACGGAGAAGATCCCGACGAGTGGCGGCCACCGCCGGATTTCCCTTCCAGTATGCATAGGGTTCCCTATCTGTCCACTTGATCTTCTCATTGGCTTCTTTGAGCTCTTTCTTCAGTTTCTCCCATGGCTTTATGTTAATCTCAGGCCTTCATTAGCATCAAAAGTTATTAATATCACCATTAATATATATGTATATGCCTTATTAATAATCAAATAGAATAATGCAAAATCAGCTAATTTATAATTTATATATATTTTAAAGAGTTTTATTATTACCCATCTAGTGCAAGAAAACTGCATTTTTCACAATTTTAAATCGTTTATTATAAAATTAAAATAATTTAAAATTTTAATGTCTAAGAGACTAGATTTTATTTGGGATGACTTTATTACTGATTCTTAAAGCAAGCAACTTTTTAGTACAAAATTTAATTTTTTTGTACTAAAATTTGCTTTAAGAAGCAATAATTAAGAAAACTGTCTCAAATGAAACATAATCTTATATTCTCTTCATGTTTTTTAATTATTTTAAAAGGTCTGCTTGGAGCAATTTTCTAAATGCTTAGTTTTTCATATCAGGATCATATTTCTATTTGGTTGCTATTTATCGCTGTATTACAAAAAAAATTATGATAGAAAAATTCTTTTTTACAATTAGATCTACTAAAATATGGAGCTGTAAGAAATTTACAATTTGATTTTTTTTTAAAATAAGAATATATTTATTATGCTTACTACAGTTTATAAACAATAATTTTTTTATAAAAAAATTATCAAAATCGTTATAAAATCACCCACCACTGTTTGTCCGGGTGGTGAAGAGCCGGTTGGGCAAAGCCTAAGTCCTTGGTTTGAATCCCTTGACAAATAATGAAAGCCTTAACTGTTGACCCGTGTAAATTAGTGTGGGTTACATGTTAGGTCGATCGGGATTTTCACTAGCCTAAGTGCATTTAGTACTTGTAAAAAAAAAACTTTATAAAAGCTGCAGCTAGTACGAACAAACCTAAATTATATTATAAATATTTATAATTTATGATAAATAGGGAAAATATGCATGTATTAGTATTTGAAAATAATCAAACTCTTTATTAAATATTAATAGAAAATGTTATTTTCAAAAATAAAAATATATTTAGCAGTCTCTATAAATAATATTTATTTAAGTTAGAGTTGCGATAAAGAATTACCAACCCCAGAAGGACCAATCCGGGAAGACCACGTCAAGGCTAGAGTCGTCGCTGCAGTACCGGAAAAGCGGCGGCGGCGCCGAGGCGTTCCTCCCTTTATAATCCGCGGCCTTGACGACGGGATAGTCGACGGTGTCGAACATGAGGTCAAGGTCGGGGACCCGGCCCGGATAGCGACGGAGCAGTTGTACCAGCCCCCACAGTGTGAACACATCTCGGGTCTGAAAGGAGGGCCGCAAGCGCTGAACGAAAGCCCGCCCGCCCAATATCACAAGCCGAAAGTTTGCGGTCCGTCCCGCTCGCTCTACCATCTCCTTTGTGATTCCGGTTCGCCGCCATGGTTTGAGGTCTTCGTGGATCCAACGGAAGTAGTCCGGGCAAGACGAGGGTAGCGGCGGCGGCGAAAGGAGGCTTTTTTCCGGCAGTTGGATTGACGAGATTGCTCTGCAAATGTTGAATTTGGTTTGGTTTGCGGCGGGGCAGGAGAAAAGTATGATTGCCGGCGGCGGAGGAGACGCTGGTGGAGGTAATACCGCCGGTTGTTCTTTATCGGAAAAAGAAGCGTTGGAGGTAATGATGGAGGTCTTTGATGTGGTAATGGCGGCAGGGACGCCGGCGGTGGAGCTTATAATAAGCTGCTTAATTGTCGTGGGGATGCAAGGTTTAGTTTTTAGTGCAGCAGATAAAAATTACATGCATAATTTGCATAATTAAGATCTAAAAAAGGGGAGTTTGAAGAAGAGATAAAATAAATTAACCATTTAAAAAAATAAATATTTTAAGTTTATAACTTTATGACAGATCATCTTGTTCATCATTTTCCACTTAATAAATGCTCCAATAATTAATAAAAGCATTGAAAATGAATTTATTGGCAAAGATCACAAATTATTTTAAAATAATGGAGCGGTAATTTAATTTCAACAGTAAATAACTAAATTTATTACTTCAGTAATCATAATTATGATCATATTTTAAGCTTAGATAAAATAATTAACAAAATGAAAAATAATTTTTAATGAATTCACAAGCAAAGGAGTATTCTCAACGTTACATTTAGATATTCGAACTAAAGTTGGAAATTAATGGCTCAATGATTTCCTCCACCTGTCTTTAATTAAAATTAAAATATTAATAATCAAATTATTAAAAAACTATATTTTGGGCAAGCTTTTAGATTATTTTCCTCTCATATTAAGATCAATGGCGAAGCCAGAAAATTTTTATGAGGTACAATGACACCAAATAAACAAAATAAATAAATAAAACCCAATTAAAAGTCTACGACCGTTGCAAGAATGGCATCAAATAAATTCGATTTGCTTCTAACTTTTCAATAATATAACTCTTTCTCTTCCCATAATATAAAACCATAGTATTATTATCTTATGGCCGTCAATATGTGGGCAAATTATTGCATCCGGTCATCAGATGTGGATAATAGGTTCGGACAATATCCATAAAAAATTTGCCACGTCACATGCGATTTTGACTGCGCTTTTGACTTGCGTTTTAGTTGCGCTTTACATGCGCTTTTGACTCCGCTTTGACCTGCGCTTTACCTGCACTTTACCTGTGCTTTACCTACGCTTTTGACACGTTTAATTTAAAATAATATTTTATTAATATCCGAACCTATCTCCGAGTCCGGTGACCGGATGAAATAATTTGCGAGCACTAATAAAACTACTACATAATAATAATAGCAATCTTTTATCTCACTGTATGAGGCATGAATCAATTTTCTACATTCGATTTATGTAGTCAACCTCATATAGTGAGATGAAAACTAGACATTGTTGTTGTATTGTCCCTTCGTTATAACTCCCATGCAATAGATTTGGTTGTTGTTATAAGAAACTACCATCTATTTTAAAGAACAAATTTATAATGTTTCAGCCCTTTCAAAAAAGTTATTTTTTTCCAACACAAAATAATTCTTTTTAAGATTTTTCAAAAACTTAAAATAAGCAATGTTATCACCCGATGCGGAAGCAAATTAAAAACACAAAAATTTTAATAATTGTGATGATAAGTTACTCAAAATAATATAACATCAAATAAAATTTTTTCAACATGCAATTTTTAGAAAAATAAATTGCAGAAAAATAAAATATAAAAAATAAAAATCAGAATGAACACACAATAATTTTATAATGGTTCAATCAAAAAATGACATATGCATATTCCCTGAAGTTCTCCTTTCCCGAAATTACACTAAATCCCACAACCAAACTAAATATGTTATGCATGTAAATTCCCCATATACATTTATTGTAAATTTATTATGATTTTTTTAATCCTATTACTTTGCTAGAGTAATATGAAAGAAACTAATAAAATAAATATTTAAATTTAAGAAAAAAAACACAAATTTTAAGATTTATTTTTTTAATAAAGGACACGTGTAATCTTGTTTGATTAGGTCGGTATTTAACATTTATTGTCAATTTATTGAAGAAAATTATCATGACTTTGACAATATAGAATGAATGAAATTTATAAAAAGAATTTATAAAAAAAAAATTGTTCTTTTTTAAATTATTATGAAACTTATAATTCTGCTTGAAGGGATCCTGATTCTATTTTTTCCCATAAAAATTAAATTGTAATTTTGGATAGAAACGCGAATTGAGCGGTGGCTTACAGAACTGTTGATCCATGGAACAGAGACGGCGGCGGCGAGGAGGGAGAAGACGATAGATAAAACGATCACAACCCGGGTCAACGGCAGGGCCGCCACCACCATAGAGGCGAAGCTGAGGCTCTTTCCGGCGACCTTCAAATGGCGGCAAATCTTCCATCCAGGCAGCGGCGGGGCCGGAGAAAAGCTCTGCTCTCTCTGCATGTTGCTCTTCTCCTCAAGCTTTGATCTGACAGAACAATTGAGTCCTTCAGCTCCTCCCCTCTTCGCCGGAGAAGAAATTAAGCTGATTGAATCGTGTGAGGAGTGATGAGCAGATCTACCTTTCTCTCTGTTTCTACCATAAAGTGGCGTTTTGGGAGTGAAGATTTTCTTCTCAGCGTCTAAAGAAGCCTTTCAGGCGGTGAATCACAGGTCTCTTTGACTTTAATTCTTGTGATTTTTTAGGTATTAATATTAATATCAGTGCGCAATTATAATATTTTTTTAATTTAATATAGAATAATATCAAAAATTATTTTGAAATATTCTAATATAATTTTGATGAAGGTGGATTTAAAATTATAAAATTATATATATAAATCATAAAATTTTAATGTATTTATCAATCTAATACTTAAATTAATATAATACATTTTATAAATAATTAATAATACATTTATTTTAAAATATATTTAAAATGTTGAGATCATTCCTAATAAATTTTTTTTATTAAATTATTATGATACAATTTTATTTTGGGATTTTTACATACATAACACTTAAAACTATATTATTTACTCATTTAACACCTAAAGTTTTCTATTTACACACATGCCACTTAAAACTATTTCTCATTTCTAAAAAACCACTCCGTAACCACTCCGTCCCTCTCTCCGTGAAATCCCGCTGGCTTCACTTCGCGAGGCCCTCCACGCCGGAGTTCCGGCGATCAGGCCTCCACCGCCTATGACGGCCTGTCCGAAGCAATTACGGAGTGAGGCCTGGCCTGTTCCTAACGTGAGCTCTGGTTTCTGACATGGAGGGTGGTAATTAAGAAATCATGAAAATGAGCTTTGCCGATGCCAAGGCTCATCCCGAGAACCTCCATTATTTCCAGCGAAAGCTTGCTCATTGCCTCGCAGTAGTCCTGATACACTTCCCTGCGTAAAATTTCTAATTAATGTCAAAAAACAAAAAAGGAAACATATGATCAGCGTGTGTGTGTGTTATACGAAATGCCAACCAACCCAAAATGTCGAAAATCCTCACCGAGATTGTTGGCGAAGTATTCGAGAACGACGGTGGAGCGAGGGGAGAAACGAAAGGAAAGTGTTTCTTTCCATGGGAGTTTTGAGGAGAATCGGCCGGTGAAGCTGCTGGCGTAGCCGTAGCTTTCGCCGGACTTTCGCTGAGCTCTCTGTTTCTCTTTGAGTGACATGGAGAAAAAGGATTCGACAGAACGGTGAACATCGGCGAGGAGCTTAGACGGGATTCGGTGATTTATGACTTGGAAGAAGCCATGTGAGGAGCATGCTTCGCCGACGAGGCGGACGACTTCGGTGGCGGATTCCGGCGAGCCTAAGAGAAATCCAACGAGGTCTATGAGCGGTACCGGAAGCTCCTCGCCGGCGGCGACGACGGAGACTCGTCGGAGGATTGAAGGGGATTAAGAGGAGAGAGGATTGAAAGACAAAGCAGAGTGGGTGCAATGGAAAAGCCAATGCCACTCAATGGTGAAGATGGCGTTGCATAATTGCTTCTAACAGGCCCGATCGTCGGAAGTCCGGCGTGGAGGGCCTTGCGAAGTGAAGCCAGCATGATTTCACGGAGAGAGGGACGGAGTGGTTTTTTAGAAATGAGAAATAGTTTTAAGTGGTATGTGTGTAAATAGAAAACTTTATGTGTTAAATGAGTAAATAATATAGCTTTAAGTGTTATGTATGTAAAAATCCCATTTATTTTCCATAATTTCTCTTCAAAACCAGAAAGTCTTAAGACCGCGTGCGTCGGCCACTCAGAAAATCGTTTGGTTACGAAAACTGGAACTATAGTTTTAACTTCACCAAAACACACGGAGTTGCCACGTGGCCTTCAATGCGACTTGGCGTGTGGTGGAGGGGGGTGGAGGGGAAAGCGGTGAGAGAATTAACTAATGGTAATTTCTGCTTTTCATAAAGTTAAGCGATTTTTATTCTGTAATGATTGGGGGATAAAGCGGTTGGAGGCAAGCGCCAAAGCAGGTAAAGGAAAATGTTTCTTACGCCTGTGGTCCTGTGGGAAAGTAGGTGTGATATTAGCACATTGTTTAGTTTTAGAGAAATAATTTAGTTGTCTATAGTTTGTTTGGTTATGCTTTCTTATTATTTTTTTTAAATAATTTTTTATAAAAAAATTAAACAGATAATTGATGGATTGTAGAGTTTAAGGCTTCATTTGAAACTGCTTTATTATTATATTTTAAGAATCAGCTTTTTAGCAAAGTCTTACATGGGGTTCTGGTTCGGTACAAATTGGGTACCCATGCTTTATTCGGAAGGTCTTCGCCCACCCATTGTGACTTTCGGGATATCGTACCCACCTATACACATCCCCTTTCAATGATTTTTAACGCAGTATGCCACAGACTGATGTCCTTGAGGCTCGTTGCCCTTTGCTCTGATTGCAAGCTTTCTAAGCACATATCAGAATTTTCAGTAATGGCAGCATTGTTAAGTGCTGCACACTATGTAGTGAGGATTGCAGTAGTATAAGATATACAATGATTAGCAATGTAAATCGATTTATCCCCTAATGTTGAATATCCACCTATACACACCCACAAGATCATGGACATACCCATACCCAATGAAGCAATAAGAAAATATGGGTGGTACATGGGTGTGTTTGGGTATGAGTACCCAATGAAGGGCTCTGCTTTTTAGTACAAAACTCTTTTTTATTAAAAAAATATTTTAAGAAGCAATAAGAAAATCGTCGATCTCAAATGAAGTCTAAGAGAACAAAAAGTTATAACCAACAAAAACAAGAGAAGATGATAGAGTGTTAACTATGTAACACTTATGTTTCATTTGGGACGGCTTTCTTACTGTTTCTTAAAGCAGTTTTTTTATATAAAAAAAAATAGAAAGTTGCTTTAAGAAGCAGTTAGAAAGTCGTCCCAAACGAAAACTTATTTTCATACCCCTTTTAGAAGCGGTCTAGTTGGGTCGCATTATTCAAAATAGGAATATAATTAGAATATAATCTTTAATTAAGATAATTAAACTCAAAATATATATTAAAAAAAAAAAGACTTCTTCCAACTCCCCAAAAGGTGGAAAGATCAAGCATTTCGTTGGTTGTTAAGAAGGCCTATACAACACACAACATGATTATTCTTCCATAATTTCCTCTCCTCCTCTTCTCCTTCCCTCAAAACAAACCCTCTTCATCCTTCTCTTTATCAACCCTTCCCCTCTCCCCTCCATTACCAATTTCTCCACCAAATCAAAGCATCAATAAGTCAAATATCGTCCATTAATTATCTCTCCTTCATCTACATATTTATGGTAAGCAATCAGCTAGCCTTCCACATGATGATAGATGTACTGATTACGAATGCCAGTTTCTGGATTAATTATTCCGTGTAGATGCAGAATGTCGTCCGGAGACCAACCAGAATGCGTCATGTCACCCCTTCGCTCGGTACTACTCGCTCAGTATTGCGGCTCGATACCGTTGATGTGACGCATTTTGGTTGCTCTCTAGACGACGTTCTGCTTTCGATCTCCGTGCAGAATAATTTCTCCAGTTTCTGATACGTATTTGTATGATTGGCTGTGGATGATGAGTGCAAGGTGAAGTTCATGGAGCTGAAGACGAGGAGAAATTATCGTTTTATAGTATTCAAGATAGATGAGAAGGAGATGAAGATAGCTGTGGACAGAATCGGCCAACCTGACGATAAATATGATGATTTTACTGCATGTCTGCCACCGAATGAATGCCGCTATGCTGTCTATGATTTTGATTTCATCACTGCTGAGAATTGCAATAAGAGCAAGATTTTCTTCATTGCATGGTAACTTTTTATTTTGTTATGAAGGAATTTAGGTTGGAGTAGCTCATGTGGCAGATAAGATTAGAGAAAGTCGTCTTATAAGATGGTTTGGTCACATAAAACGGCGGCCTTCCGATGACCTGATTAGGAAAGTAAAGGTATTAGAAAAGTAGAAGTAGATCTAAAAAGACATAGTTAAAAATATTAGAAATGATCTTTATTTATTAGGTCTAAACGAGAATTTGACTTTTATCAGTGACACGAGAGAAAAAAGGATTCATGTAGCCGACCCCACGTAGGTATGATAAAAGCTTGATGTTGTTGTTGTTGTTGTAAAAATCTAGGCGCGCGATAGAAATTAATTGATCTTGATTATGACTCTAATTACTTTATGATCTGAGGATCAAAACATTAATTATTTTCATGTTGTTGTAGTAGAAACTAAGTAATTAGAGATAATGCATCATTAACTTTTTCAATAAGCATTACATTCATTGTGAATGTAGTAAATGATGAAAAATAAAGGGCAACTTTTTCATCAAAATTTTTGTGAATTGAAATTCTGAGCAATGGATATGATCAAATCTTTTTCTTCTTCACTGAAAACTTTCTGTCATTAAATTTTTTTGACAAATTTAATTATAGCAACACACAAATTCCAATGATAATTTAAAAAATTCAACAGGAGGAAAATTAACAGAATGAATTTTCTAATCTTTGTATTACTAAATCAATTAATTAATCATATATATTAAATATAAAGAAAATCAAATGATTATGAAACTTCTATTTGGCTTCGTTTGGGGCAGCTTTCTTACAGTTTTATTTTTGACATCTCAATCATAATTTTTATTTGGCTAATACTTTTTTGTCGGTTTCCAAAAAAAAATTATACTAAAATTTTGTTTTATAAAACAACTTTAATTAAAAAGTTACTCTCTCTGAAGCGAACGCTAGACGCAGCTCTATATCCAAAGGCGAATAAAGTGCAATCACATCAACAATACCAATCCACGATATCGAACAGTCCAAGCCGTGTAACCGAGCAAAGGGGTGACACAGAATAATTTTATTGTCCATTTGAGGGGTCATGGCGCAATTTTTTTGAACTTGAGGGGGTTTGTAAACATTTTTTTTAGACTTCCCACTGTTATGTTTATTCTTTTGTGTGATAAAAGAGTTAATATCTAAATTTAATTGTTTATAAAAATCAATATGAACATCAATAATTATAAATTAAACCAGTAATATATATTCATGCTGCATATAAAAAGTAATAATTACAGATTTATATATTTACAAAATTAACACTCAATTATTTATTTTAATATGATGATAATGGACTGAGATAAGTAATTCTGATGCTGAATTTTTGAATAAGTATAAGTCATCTCAAGTATCTGAGAGCTTTTGAAGCTTATCAAACTGAATCCATAGACAAAGAAGCTAATATGCACAGGCAATGATCAGGAACATTTTTGTCAGCCTTTCAACATATCCAGGCAAATTTCATCATCAACTGGATTTCTAGAACCTGATACAACTTGGATATCCTAATTAGTCCAACTTAAAATACCAAATACTATCTAAATTACAAGGATTATGGATAGTTTTATTGAAATCAGCCAAGAAAATTTACAACTTTGGGCTCTTTTTTCTTTGCTTTTACATTAATAGCTACAGTCCCTCCATTCTTCTGACCACTGTTAATGTCTTCCATCACAAAATCATCTTCCAGGTCATCGCCACTGCGAAGGATGTTGCACTTGCCGGGGTGATCTTCGTCGAACTTGCTAGCTGAAATTCATCATGAGAGTGTTAGGCTCTTTGCACACTAAGGCTTTGTTTGGGACGGCTTTCTTCATGCTTCTTAAAGTAAATTTTTTTACTAGAAAGCCGCTTTAAGAAGCAGGAAGAAAGCCGTCTCAAACGAAGACTAAAATAGCCCACGACAAAATTTAAATCCACTTGAAAAGATTTGGAGGCCAATCATATCCCAAAAATGGTACAAATCATGTCATGACAAGTAAAACAGACAGAAGACTTACCTGGGTGGCATTTATAAATACCATATAAGCTACAAACAAAAGGATTTTTTCTTCCTTCGAGAGTTTCTTTCAGTTTTCTAATACATATAATAGAGAAAAACAAGTTAAATCAGTCCTAAGGGAGGAGCTCCCAAAGAAAATTTTATTCATCATGACCTTCCTTTCCCTTAATCTCTCGGCTTTCTAATCTCACCCTCCTTGTTCTCTAACATCACAAATACGGGGTTAATAATAATAAGGTGAAATTAATTGGCTTCTCAATGTAAAATAGGGCCTTTGTGCAGACAAAAAGACGCAAAATAAATGAAAAAGTGATGAAGTATGAAGAAATAAATAATGGTGATGAAAGGATTCATAGCCTAAACAAAATTTCAAATTACCAATCATGCACGTAGAATGAACCAAAAACCTTAGCTTTAAAATCAATTTGATGAAAAATGATCTCGAAAAAAACAATAGAAAAGATTATGAAGAAGATTGGAAAAATTAAAAGGAGTCGACGTATCTTTCAATGAAGTCTGATTGTTACTATCGCATGGATTCATCTAATGTTCAAAACCTAAGCTCTAATGTCTTTATAATCCCTTCAATTATCAAGTTCTCATCACCTGATAGGTCATTAAGGCTTCGTTTGGTTACCATGTAGCTTTTGTAAAAAATAGTTATAAAAATGTTGCTTGAGAGAGAATGGAGGTTTCTAAGAGAAAAGCAAATACCAAAAACCTTTTGTAAAAAGTAGAAAAGTAAAGTTTTGTAGAAAGCATTTTTAAAACTAGAGGATTACATCAATGAGAAACCAGTCTAATCGGAAGTAAATCCACTTTGATTTTTCCTATCATTCCAAGGATATCTTGGTGTACCAATTCTCAAAGTTTCTTCCATTGATTATCATGTTAAATAGAAATTCTACGGCTGCTTTCCATTCTCTCAGATGATATAATCCAACATCTCCCCAAACACATGAGATTCTTTCAAAGCCCATAAATGATTAAGAAAAGCAATAAGACACGCACGCCTTACACTAGAACAAAGAGATTGCCTCTCCCATAAGATTTTCAAGTTTCATACCTGTCAAAGATAAATATCCCAAAATGGATGAAGAAGATAGGTCTTCTCTTCAATAATAAATTATTCATTCCATAGAAGCTACCTTAAATGGACGCATCTACTTATAGATGCCAAAATATAGAAAATTGCTAACAACAACAACAAGCATTTATCCCACTATATGGGGTCGGCTACATGAATCCTTTTTCTCCATTGTGTGCAGTTAAGAGTCAACTTCTCTTTTAAATCTAAAAAACAAATGTCATTTCTAATATTTTCTAACCAAGTTTTTTAGGTCTACCTCTATCTTTCTTAACATAAGTAAAATCTAATACATCTAATTTCTTAATCGGGTCATCGAAAGGATGTCGTTTTATATGACCAAATCATCCAAGGCGACTCTCTCTAATCTTATCTTCCACTAGAGCTACTCCAATCTTTTCACGTATATGTTCATTTCGTATCCTATCTTCAAGAGTAAAGCCACTCATCCACCTGAACATCCTCATCTCCGCAACACATAACTTAATATTATGCTTCTCTTTTAATGGCTAACATTATGCACCATAAAGCATGTAGGTCTCACTACCATCTTATAGAATTTTCCCTTAAGTTTGAGAGAGACTTTTCTATCACACAACAAGCTCGATATATTCCTCCACTTAAATCATTCAACTTGAATTCTACTAATAATATCCTCATCTATTTCACCATCACTCTGAACAATAGACCCAAGATATCTAAAATGAGTGCTCTTATTAATGACTTGATCGCCCAAATTCACAAACCCCCCACTAGATCTATTATTACTAAAATTACACTCTATATATTCAGTTTTAGATCTACTCAAACAAAAGCCTTTAGACTCTAAGGTTGACCTCCATAATTCATGTTTATCTTAAAATCCCTCTTTGATCTTATCAACAAGAAGAATATCATCAGCAAAAAGCATACACCAGGGTACAATCTCCTACAAATGTCTAGTGAAAACATCCATGACTAAAATAAAAAAATATGGGCTTAAGGCTGATCCTTGATGTAATCCAGCATAATAGGGGTGTCAATTTTGGGTCACGGGTTGGGTTTGGGTTGAACCCGAAACTAACCCAACACTATTTAGGTCAACCCGAACTCGACCCGTCAACCCGACACGACCTGAATGACCCGGTTCCAACAAAAAAATGCTAGTTTTCGGGTCCAAAAATGAGTCAATCTTTGCTTTTTGGATTAAAAATAGGTCCAAAATGGGTCAATCTCGTGTTTTCGGGTCAAAAATGGCTTTTCGGGTAAAAAAAGGGTCAATTTCGAGTCAAAGGATCAACACGAACCTGACCTAATTTGTGAAACGGGTCGAATTGTTGAACAAAAACCTGACCCGTTTCGGGTTCGGGTTAACCCTAACCTGAAATTTTCGGGTCGGGTTTTCGGGTCATGTCAAATATTGACACCCCTACAACACAAATAGGAAAATACTTGGTCAAACCACCTTGTGTTTGAACACAAGTAACAGCTCTTACATACATATCCTTAATGACTTGAATATAAGCATTATAAATCCTTTTTTATTTAGAACTCTCAATAGTACTTCTCTTGGAACATTATCATATGTTTTCTGATTTTCTCTAAATCAATAAAAATCGTATGTAGGTCCTCCTTATTCTCTCTAGACTTCTCCATCAAACCTCTCAATAAATGTATAGCTTCCATAGTAGAGCTACTTGGCATGAATCCAAATTGATTTGAGAAACATTAGTGTCATGCCACAACCTATGCTCCATAACTCTCTCCCATAGTTTTAAAGTATGACATTTTAACTTGATTCCTCTTTAATTCGCACAATTTTGTGCATCACCTTTATTCTTAAAAATAGGAATCAATACACTTATTCTTTACTCATCTGGCATATTTTTAATCTTCAAAATAAGATTAAAAAGTTTAAGCCAAGAAATTCCTTCATCTCAGAAGCATTTCTACACTTCTGTTGGAATATCATTAAGTCCAATAGCTTTTCCACACTTCATTTTCTTTAAAGCTTCTTTAACTTCTTTTTTTTATTTTTTATTTCTTTAAAGCCTCTTTAACTTCAGTTTTACTAATATGCAGATAAAAATAAAAATCTTTATTTTCATTTAGGATGCTAAGATCACTAAAGTCAATCGTATTATTATAATCTTCATTGAAAAGTTTAGCAAAATATCGTATCCACGTTGGTTGCATATTATCTTCTAATAAAAATATTTTTTTTATCTTCATCCTTAATACACTTCACTTGAACTAAATCATTACTAATATCTTTTTGTTTAGTTAACTTATATATATATATATATATATCTTTCATCCACCATAGTATTTAATCTATTATATAAATCATTAAAAGTTAAAATCTTTGCATTACAAATTACTTTCTTAGACTCCTTATAGGCATCTTTATATCTTTCTCAAATATCAGATTTTTTACAGTTAAACTAATTTTTATAACAAATCTTCTTATTTTTTATCTTTTCCTACACATTTTGATTCTGCCGCCAACTATTTTTAATATTAGTAACTTTTCCCTTTGATAAGTACAAATATAAAATATAGACAATTGCTAAATACAAATAATTTTCTTAAGAACTACTAAAAAGTGCTAACAAAATGCTAATAAACAACAAAAAAAACTTAAGAATTTAAAGAACAACAAATATAAGGTGACAATAAAAAAGAACATGAATTCCAACTTATATATTATATAAGGACAGAATATATTTGGTTACATATAACAACGCAAAATTTTCAGCATCGCTTAGCCACAGAACAGGCATTCAGAAAAGCTTATAATTCTAATTTTCATGCAACAAAAAGATGCCATTAAAACATGGAGCAGTAACCAAAAAATAATGATAGAGGTTTCAACCCAGGGGAAAAGAAGCAAGCTCTAAACAAATAAAAAGCAGATTGAGTAATAAAGCAAACCATTTTGAAAGCGACTTACATGTCTTATCTGTTCCGGATGAAGTAAGATGTTTGTCAGCTTTCTTTGGACAATGCTTGGCCAAGTGAGTCACTTCGCCACAAATTTTACAAGAACCGCCCTAAGAAAAATGCAAAGTTGAAATGTCAAAAACTTCACCTATTTATGGAAACAGATCAACCATCATTCAAACCCTACTTTTATTTTGCTTTACAGATCAGAATTGCAAACTCAAAAACCTTTGTCAATTAGATGAGAATAGAGTTAAAAAAAAAGATAGTAACATACATATAAACAACAAAGAAGAATCACAACTTCCTCTTAATATTAAAACTAATAGTCGCAGAGTTTGAGATTAAAGAAAAACAAAATCATCCCACATTGCAATTTGCAACTGTAGTTGACCAATGCCAAGATACCAGCATGCTTATATTCCTACACAAAACTACCATATTATACAAAAAAGGATATTAGTAATAACACAATCACAGACCAAAGAAACCGTTAAAATTTACGAATTGACCTTTGAGCTTTTATATGATATTTAAACAACAAGTCATGCTAATAAGCATAAAACTTCAAAGTGATTTTTCCTAATCAAACTCAAATCATGGACGCATACAATACCTAATTATAAAGATCCATCATCCAGAACACTGCAGGAAAAATATCTATGAAACACAAGGTATTAACTGACATGTTTATATTACATAATCCGAAGGAGAAATCAAATCCGCATATCACTTGTGACAGCGGTTCAAAACCAGCAACCACCTTATTTATCCAAGGTTAAATATCCAGCATGGATATTAACTTACAGAACTAAGACTAAAATCATGCCCAAATATATGAACTAATCTAATGCGAGGAAATAAAAATGCATCCTCTCTCAAGGCCATCATCACTGAAAATTCTTAATTACCGAAATAAAATAAAATAAAATAAAATAAATCAAATGATAAAAAATAAATCAGTTGTGATCAGATCATTGCATGATGTGATGCTTCCTACAAGCATAAACATGAAACTTCAAAATCAAAAAAGTATTTACAATAGCATCTGAATTTAATTACATGCTGCAACTTAAATAATATAAAAAGGTTTCACTATTAGCACTTATTGAATGAATAAAAAAATGTCAAATAAAGTATATTATTTTTGACAGAAGAAATCTTAAAAATATCAAAACAGATATTTGCAAATATCAATATACACATACTTTAATATATTATTGCTAAAGTGTAATACTCAGAAGAAAAAAAACCCTCTCAGTATCATCCAACTTCTAGAAACTTGTATCTCAATTATAGCTTCCCAATCTTCTCCCTATTCCACATCATGCATATTCTTCCTCCTCTAGTCAACCTTTTAACCATCACGGCCCCCATCTTCCTTTTCTCCCAAAATCCTCAACCCTAACCTCCTTTGTCGTTCTTCTACCACAGGAATAACTCAATCCTCACCTAACACCTTATTTACTAGATAAGCATTCCATCTCATCATCCAAAACGATCCAGCCTACCTAGACATATTCCTCAACTGGCCTGCCTCTAGCATCATCTTCCTCTCTCAAGGAGTTTCTCCTATACATTATTTTCTCATCTATTCCCTTTTCCACCTCCCACGAACTCCTCAATGTATACTCATCTTAACTATTCCATCCCCAACCCAAGATTGCAAGCACTTGTAACTCCCAATTTTTCTTATCATTGAAAGGGTTGAGATGCCCGGCCCGCTCATTAGCAAACTCAAACTTGAGGCCAAGCTAAAATCAAGCTCAATCTTACTTCTTGTATTCATCCTCGGGCACCCACCAAAGGGTTGATTCCTCAATTCGCTCAAGTCTTGGCTTTTAATCCCACTCCGCTTATCTATCCACATCCAGTTCCTTCAAATCTCAAGATTCTTCCAGAATTCCATTTAACATAAAAATATCACATAAACACACAAAAATTGGACTAGCTTCGCTTTGCTTTACTTCGGTACTTTAAATAGTGAATTTAAGGCATCGGACCATTCAAAATTGATTATTTCTTAATTAATCTAGCATATAGAAGAAATTTAAAGATAATAAACGTTAAAACAGAGACACTAAAACTAATAAGCACATATACATTATTCAATCATTGACACATTAGAGCCCAAAAAACATAGGTCAGTACAAAAGGTACAACAAGAATTTCTAAACCAATTAGAGAAATCGTGCCTTCTGATTTTTCAACAATGAAGTTCAGATAAGAGTTTCGTATTGCTGTTGTTCTTATCAATTAAAAATATATCAATTCCATTTTATAAAGCATAAAGCAAAAATGTTAATATGGTCATGAAGCTTGTAGTCAAACAGTTTCGACTATTTGCAGCGAGTCAGTATGGCATGAAAATCTCAAATCAAGAAAGCATATGTTAACAAAAAAGCATACCTTCGGATAAATTCCATGAGTATTCTTAGGACAATATTTGCTCAAGTGTCCACGCTCATTACAAACAAAGCAGCTTGCAAACTTTGTACCTCCTACATTCACAAAGGAAAAGTGAATTAATAGAAAAAATCACCATCCATCAACTTCGTAAACTTCATAAACAATAACAAGGAGCTAAGGAATATCAGTCGTCAGAAAGCATGTGCAGGGCTTCCCCACAATTTTACTAATTCACTAGTTGTGTTAAGGGTTTGAGCCAGAACAAAGAATATCTAGGTCAGCGGATAAATTTAGAAAATAGAAAAATAAAACAGATACGAACAAAACTTGAATTCCTAACAAAACTAACTATAATTAAATTATTTGCAAATCTTCCAAAACCACATGTGGACATATCAAGGTTTCCGCTTATCAGTGCAAATAAACATAAATCATCATACCAGAATTAGGACACTATCAGTATACCTTTACAGTTATAACTTGGATAAATCAAAGAGTTCAAGAATCTTGCATCAGCTTGAATTTGCATCAAAAGTTGAGGAAGATCTTATAAAAGATAATTTAAGAAGCCTTTTCTCTGCACAATAACAGTTTATCTTCAAATTCCTTTCTTTCAATTTAAGGCCCAGAAGTACATCATTGCAATATGTATACAACTTTTATTTCACAAGCAGTTAAGTATAAATTGGAAGCTGCAAACTAGAGAGGGAGTGGAAGGGAGGTGGCGGTGGGGAGAAGGAAGAGGTTAGGTTGAGAAGAGAATTAGGTAGGGTGGAGGAAAAGTGTTGTATTCCTCATGCCAAAATTAATCTCAGATTTTTAAGTAGAAGTGGAGGGAAAAATCTGAGATTTGAATTTCAAAAGACAAGTAATTAGGAGCATTAATGTAGCATTAAGGAGGTGGGGACCATGGGGAAGGCCGGCGGCATGGTGAGAGGGGAGAGGAGTTGGTTATGTGGAGAATAGTAAAGCTCTTTCCAAATTGATCCCTTTAATTTAGGAGAAGAAAATTTCCACCTAAATCAAATTTGAATTTTGTCATGAAGGAGGTTTAAAACTTTCCTAAAATAGAAGAGCTAATTTAGGAAACATTTTGAATTCAAATTTTTGGTGAATTTGAATTTCAAATTACCCCAATTAATCCCACTCTTAAATTAGGAAACACCATAAAGATGCAAAAGGGGTGGGAGGCCGGCGGCTAATGCAAGGGGGCGGCGGCAAGGGTTATGGCTAGCGAATATGGGCGGTGGCCGGCGGCAAAGGGGCTTCGGGCAAGGTGAGTTTGTGGTGTTTTGGGGAAGGGAATTGGTAGAAGCTATGGCCGGTGGTGGGAAGTAGAAGGAGGAAGATGTCGTGGGGGAGGTGATGGCAAGATAAAGAAAAGAAAATAAAAAAAAAATAACCACGAACCCGGCCGTCTCCAAGGTTGGTGGGTGATGCGATAATCTCCCTCTCCAAGGAATCTCTCCAAAGCTCTCCAAGAACTCTCAAAGGCTCTCACAACATAAGTGTAGGAAGAAATTTCAATAATCATTCATTAACCATCAAAAGTACAAGATGAAGGCTATAAATAGCCTAATACAAAGACATAAAATAAAAGACTAAAATACCCTCGAGGGGCTACAAGACTCAATCCCTCAAGCAAGGGTAAAAAAGGAAAAATGCATAAATAAAATACATCAAAATAAAATGATCAAACTAAAATCAGACCGTAGATCTACGACCACGTCGACGGTAGACTTTCCAACTGATGTCCCCATCATCATGTCAATTATTCGCCGCTAGAACCTAGTAATAGGAAGAGTTGTGTGAGGGATCTTTCATAGCCTAATCTTATTGTTAGTATTGGAATTTCTCGTTGAAACCACTCATGTATGCAAAGTAAGATTTAGTTGACTATTTAATGATCTCAACCTCTCGCATGTGTTTAACCTAAGCTAAGTACCACTTAATATTTATCTTATCGTTCAATTCCGCATAAGATCTTACTTATTATTGCCTCTAGATCTAAGCGTGCAAACTTCTTTTAGCAAATCACTTTCGCATGGAATGTATCACATCACTTGAATATCTTGATTAATTGAGAAGGGGAAATTCTATGTGAAGAAAGAACCAACAAAGTGAAGAGAAAGAAGAGACCAACGAAAGCCTCAAAAGAAGTTAAATAAGAGTGGAGAGAAGGAAAAGGGGCTCATAGCTAGAACAAGAGAGAGTCATTGTTCTTAGATACAAGCACGCATCACACCAAAAAAAATTTGATTTTTAGTTTTCAAACTATTAAGAAACCAGTAACACCTAATAGAGCTTATCCCTAACATTACGCAAACTACAATCTGCTTTCATTTGTAAATATGGCAGTTATTGATTTTTCCAGCGAAAGACAAACCATGGTACAAGCAAAATGCAAAGTTCTGTGGAAAATTTTCACAGCCTGACTACGTGTTAAACAAAACTCTCATCATTAAGGGAAGCAAAATGAGACCATCAAGAGATAAGTCTACACAAAGAACTTGTGCATATTGATTAAACATGCCTGAAAAGCAGTCTTAAAACAATCATAAGAGAGCTAAACATTCAATTTTACACTCAGAAAAGCACTAGAAAAGGCAGAAACCCAAAAAAAGAATATGCATATTGGAAAATTTATTAAAGCAGCTTTCATCACAAATCAGTACCATCTTGAATAGGCTGAGGGCATTTTGATAGTGAATGGCCAACTTCTCCACAATTGTAGCAGAACTTCTGCTCAGTAGTTTCATCCTTTTCTGGGCAATTCTTGAGGCTATGCCCACGGTGCCGACAAAGCAAGCAAATCTGGTGATGACAAGTCAAAACATGGTATGAATATGCTTAACGTTACACATGGATAATTAAGAGTTTAAATATGCTGGCATCGTACAAAAACAATAAAATTAAAATAATAGAACTCCCAAGCCTCACTGATGTAGACATAAATCATGTATTTTATTTTGCCAAAACTAACTGGGTTCTTTTATTACATTTAGATTCCATAATTTTTTTGGAGTTATTCCAGTCAATGGTCTTAAGTTTGCAAGCAATATATAAAAAAAAAAAAAAAATAGAAATTCCTTATTTATTTATTAACAATTTATTAGTTATCTGTTATTAATTTGTTATTTCTTCCATTAGAAAGTATGGGTTTGAGCATGTAAGTAAGTTATACCATGAATAAAATTCTTATCTTAGATGTAAAGACTTCTCTCCATGTCTATTTCAGGATTTTATCCTTAATCAGGTGTTATCCTCAAAACATCTCTGAGAGTAGCAATATTCTTGTTCAAGCATGAGGTTTGGTTCTCAGGTCATTGTTGCTTAATCTTTTCATTTTCCTCTCTTCTTTTTATATAATTTCTAGCTCTTTTAGAAAAACATCCTATAACAAATAGGAAAACGCTATTTGCAAAAACCACAGCAATTTGTCCCTTTAACTGTAAAATTTTGTGCAATGGTGACATCATTGTTCACAAACCATAAATTTACTAGTTAACAAAATACACCTTCACGCCTTGCTTCCTCCCTCATCCATCTTTTTCTTTCTTACTTAACGACCCTCCATAAAATACATCTAATCTCCACATAATTACCCCTATTCAAATTGAAAATCCTAACAAACTTCCTACATGATTTCCTCCGATAAATTAGCAATGAAGCTTCAAAATTTAAATCTATCCTAATCCTAGTTGTGTCGACCTTGTTAGAAAATTCATGCATTATTCCATTCCAAATCCAACAAAACATAAATTATAATATTTCCTACACTTTAAATCGAATACATATATCTATGCATGTCAACATGTATTTACACTTTTTTCATTAACACAGTGATTCCTTTCTTATAAAGGGTTGCTATATCTATATTATCACATGTATCAACTTCTTCATAATATAAATCTTTAATATATTTAGTGTAGTGTATTAATATTATTAAAGATACTCTCCTTTATTTGATTTTATTTATTCTTCTCTCCTCTTGCCTATACATAAGCACATATTTGATTGTGCCAGTCATAATTGAATAAAATATTCCTTCTAACATAATAGCAGAGCATTATTAATCCTAGCATGGACAACATACATTTGATATCCTCATCTACTCATTGATCCCTTCATGCTCATTCACACACTAATATGTCCCTACATCTACAATATCATCTCCTCTCTGCTAGCAAGAATAAGCAGGGGCGTTGAAAATGGTGTCAAAGTGTCAATCCACCACTATAGCCGCCATCAGGTCCTCAACCCTCCTTCAATTGTACCCGTGTGACTACATACACCACTCCTACATGTACCTCTACTGAGCACATCCCTGCTCATGTGCCTACTCTCGTGCATGCACATGCTTCTTTTCTTGGCTCACTCTTAAGGCACATGGGTGCCTCGCATAGCCACCATTCAATTGCTCTCCTACGACTTATTTATCCAAAGTGCAAGTCTCAGGCATGGGCTCCTTAGCGTTCACCATCACAAGCAATACTAACGCCTCTAGCAGCCACCTATAGGTTTGTATGTACCCCTTCTCTCATTTTTGGATGTTTTATCCTAAGCACATCTAAACTTCCAATCTCTCCCCATCTTGAGTAGTGTAATTGTTGCCTCAAAAAGCAATGGAACTTGACCACCTAGGCGGCACTTTTGGAGGTAACTACAATCACACTTCTTTCCTTTGTCTTGTCATGAAAATGCTCAAGATATAAGCTAAGAAGATGTAAATCATCATCTCAACATAAGCCGTGGCATCCGATGGGATCCCAGCACATATTCTCTATGCTTTGCTATATGAAATTAATTGATGTCTCCTCTCACACCTCCCTAGCTTCTTCACCACCAACGAACATCATCATCACCCATCGAGGCACTTGATCTTATTGTCCATATCTTGCATGCCTAAACAGCTCAATGATCTCCAATGTTTTCTAGTAGCAATAGCTTTGCTAAATTATAGGCTCTTTCATTCAATGGTCTCTAACAACACACGCCAATGACGCCCTCTATTACCCATCTTCATTGATGATCTCTATTGCAACTCTCCATTAATACTCTTTGTCGATAATCTCTATTAACTCTCTAGGACAATACTCTCCAATAGTTTATTCATCACTACTCTCTGTCGATACTCTCTATTAATACACTTTGTCGACAATGTCTATTATTACTCATTGTCAACAATTCTATAACTACTCTTTGTCAACGCTCTCCATCAATACTCTTCTTTGATCCTCTTTGTTAGCTCCTCTCTCTAACGATACTCCTCATCAACGCTTTTTGTTCATTACTTTATTAAAGGATCTTATTTGTGCATTCTTTGACACAAATCTCATTACCAACATTTTGTGTTTGATTGACACTACTCTCACTTGAGGGGATTTTTGCCCTCCTCTTGAACACTCACAAATTCCGGGTTACAAAACTTTGACGACTACATTTCTAATCACTATTATTTTCATGCTTAATTTAACATCTTCTATATCAACTCAAGTTTGTGATGAAGTATTACTCTTTCTATATTACCACATTTGCCAGCTTATATAAAGCATGAATCTTTACTATTTATTAGTGTAATGTACTTGCATCACTGAGGATATTCTACTTTAATCATTTTCCTTCATGGTCCATAATACCTATGTATAGGCATTTATTTGTTTGCACTAGACTATTGGGTTAGGATTTAGTCATTTATCATGATATATATCTCAAATGAACAGGAGAGATCAATGACCTTGTTCTTCTCCCAGCTGGCTTTTTCAGGACAGAGCTTGGCAATGTGATCCTTAGATTTGCATATGAAGCATCCATCCCCCGGCCTCATTCCAGGAAGTCTGAGCGGATGCTTCTTCTGATTACCGGCGCCATTCCTCCTTTCGATTTTTGCCTTTATCGAGTCTATTCTCTTCTTCAACTTCTCCTTCTTCTTTTGTTTCTTCGACTTTGGATCCTTGGGAGGCTCGGGCTTCGGAAACAGATGAGGGTTAGCTTCACGGAATCGCTTCCGCGCCAGCCTCTGCCTCTGACTTACCATCTTCCTCGGAAACCTAGCACTCCGCTCCGCCCAAACTCTGGGAATTCTTTTCAACGATTGAAGGAGGTGAGTAAGATGTGAAAAATACAACCGGCGGCGGCAACCGGAGAAGCGACGACGTCGGCGAATAATGATTTTTCAGATTGCGGGTTGGCTCCCGGAAATTTTTTCGGTGGGAAGAGGGTGCGGCCTATGGCAACGTAGGACCCTAAAGTTTAGAAGGTCATATACCAAATAATATAAAAATGCTTCCCTATTATTCCAAAAGAAATTGAATATACAATATAGTATAAAATTAAAAATAATACAAATATACAAAAAAAAACATAATATTTCATGAAGATTTTTATAGATAATACAGTTCAAAATGAGAAATTCTAATATAATTATTAATATAATTATTTTAAATTTAGATTCAATTTTGATATTCTTATAAATATTTTTTTCATAATCAATATATAATTAGTATATAAAAGTAATATAATTATTCTAATTTTAACTCTTAGTTGTATGTATTCCTTAAAATTTTAAAATATGGATTTAATGTTGGTTGAAGTTAATGAATGGTAGCACTATTTTTTAAAAAATTTGAAAGACATTAATCTTAAATTAGTATAATCACATGCCACTTTTTAAATATAACATGCATTGAGGGAGGGAGGGATAATTTAAATTCCTGTCAGTTCGCACAAAAATAGGAGGAGAGAGGCTTATTCTAAATGAGTGACATAAGGTTAATTGTTTTGGCTGATATAATTCCTAAAAAGGGGAGGGAAGCTTGTTGTTGAGCAAGATAAAAGGATAGAAACAATAACCACATGAAGAGACAACACATAATATTTAATTAGTTTGGTATGGTGGCCGACATGCCCTAAAAGGGGGAAGAGAATATTTCATTAATCAAAAGAAGTTACAATCTCTTACTCTCATAGCTCTCACTCTCCCATGTTATAAAATAGGAGACTAAGAGTATGCCTCCTTCTGTATCATTCCATGCAAAGGCCCAAAGATGGAGTAGTTATAAGCAATGGACTGACTTGAAGTGATTCTTAAGTGGAAAGGTGCTACAATGTTACACATAACCTTCTAAGCGTGGTTGTTACTACATGAAGTGACTATGACATCTCTTGAATGACTAGAGACAACAATGACCATTGAAATGACATAAAAGAAGAAAAAAGTGTGATCATAAAAAAAATCTAAGGAACAAATTTGGTTGGAGTAAGAAGGCATTCTGGTTAGCCAAGCCCATGATACAATTAGATCAATTATTCATATTTGATCAATATATGACAAGTGTTAATATCTCGATATACATCCTCAAACAAAGCAAAAGGTCTCCTCATATTGGTAAGAAACAAAAGTTGGTATCTCTCCAAAATGAGTTGATATTTAAATTAGCCTTGAATAAAACTCTCGTACTTCTTACGTTGAAATACAATTGATAACCTGCAAAAGCGGTGAGACAGGTAGAAAAAATAATATAAGAAAGAAATAAAATTATTACGTTCTACAGTTTTCCCTTATAGAGAATGAGAGATGACATCAATGGCTCAGATTTGAAGTATCATACAGTCCTGATTTATGCCTAATCATATGACAGCTTTATACATGTGATTTTTGCTCTGGTAAACATTTCACTTCAGTATTTATTAACACGCCTCGGCAAGCTGATGTCGCGGGAGTGGCTATCAATTTTTTGATGATGTAGTGGAGCTGATGGATTGGAAGGGTCTTGGTAAAGAGATCAGCTAGCTGTTCCTTAGAGGAGATGTGATGTAATAACATGTATTTTGACTTTGCCTATTTTTCTGGAGTCATTATAACTTCAAATTACAAATCGTCTTTGTCATAATATTTTGGTTGTAGTATTTTAATTACATGAATTTTTTCATAATTTTTGGGCACCGACAAAATTCTTCAGGAATTTATACATTTCGGTACAAGTGATGATTTCATAACCGTCAGGTGTTCATTTTGCAAACCGATTTCATTAATGTTTTCTAAATAAAATGATTTATTTTATGAATATTTTTTTTTAATTTTTTAAGTCCTAAAATGATTTATTTGAATTTTATACTAAAGAATTAATTAAATTAAATATTATATTATTATTTATTATATAATATATTTAAACATTAAGACTTTATTTTAATACCTTATCACCTCTTTAGTTTGACATGACATAGATGTTTTAGAGAGGGAGCGAGAGAAAATAAGAGAAGAGAGAGAAAGAAGAAGTTAAGTTTTGGACGTCATGGAGTGATTTTTGTTCATTGATGTTGTTGGGAGATTTGCTCGTCCCACTGTAAGGCATATTTAACCTATTTTTTATTTCAAAGATTTTGTATTTTTACATATTTTTTTGATTAAATTTATATTTTCGTTACCCAAAAACATAAATAACTTTGTATTGACAAAACTTTCACCCCATAACTTTTTATATGTTATAGAGACCGAGATTATGAATATTTTGAGTATTTATTTGAGATTTTTCACATGATGATTTTGAAGCAATTTTTATTTACCCATAAATTTATTTTGGCCTCTAAAAATAGTAGTACGATATAATAAAAATTTTAAAATATTGTTTTATATAATTCCTTGTATTTTAATAATTTTCTAAAAATGTGTATTTTTGCCTAATAGGATTATTTGCTATCTACTGTTATGATATTTTGGGCATTTTTAAAATTAAGATCAATTATATTTAATTTGTTGCAACGCATTGAAAATGAATATGTATATATGAATGAGATTATTATTATAGTACTCTGATAATAATGAGTGTGTAAAAAAAAGTAAAGACTAGTTGACATGTTGGTTGGAGACTGATTAACCTGTATAGAAAGGTGGGCTGACGTGCTTTCCTTTAAATATTATGATTTGATGTTATCCTTTGCGTATTCACATAATACTGATTGAGAGTTATAGGGAGTTGATTATTATACTGACGGGGAAAGAATGTCGACTTTGTTTATTGAGCCAACGATTTACTGATACTAATGTAATACTAAAAAATAATGTGATACCCAGGACTTCTTACTCATTTAGTGTGATTACTAAAATACATATTTTTGAAGCATTATTTTTAATATTATACGATTTTATTATTACTACACATATTTATTGTTATTATATTATTTTACTGTTCCTACCACTAGATTGTTACTATTAATGATATAGATACTGATAAATTTGGATACTATTGATTCACCATACTGATATTATGCTTGCAATATACTGAACATGTGTTATAGAATAATGGTATAGTCTGTGTACATTCCGATATGATTTTACTACATTGATTCGATTTCAACAGTCATTATTGACATTTTGATTTGATGCTTTATACAACTTATATACTGATTGGTATTACATATACGATAATTGATTTATAGATTTGACACTCATATTGATATACTATTTTACTGGCTTTCGTACTATAATATTTTATTAATTATAGATTATGCTACTATAAAATATGAATTTTATTATTTCTGCACTGATTCAATAATCATATGAATATAAATGTTATGATTTGATTGTTGACATACATATTGCTCATTTGTAGTGCTTTGAATTCAGTTATAGGTTTTTGTGACATGCTGGACTTTTTAAGCTCATTAAATGTGATTAAATGATTTCAGGTCAGGGCATGGAAGCAGGAGTACGAGGCTGATCAGGATTCTTCATATTCTATTTCTTTTTGTTTTTCTTTTATACTCAGGACAGACTAATTATAATTTAATTGTATAGATCTTGAATATTATATATAATTTTTGGGATTGAATATAGATGTGTATATTGATGTTTTAAATTATAGAATATATTTTGATATTTATTATTAATATATGATATTAGATAGCTCTGACTATTATTTATTAAAAGATAAATGAATAATTTTTCCAATTTAGATTATGGGGCATTATATGTGGTGTACTTGTATGCTTTTCTTTTTTTGATGCACTCTCGGATGAAGTGGTAATCAACCTCAATATGTTTGGTACAAGCATGGTAAATAGGGTTGTTCATCAATGCTATAGCAGAGATGTTGTCACATAAGAGCAATGACAAATAGTATGCGAACTGTAGGTATATTAGCTACAAAACTGAATGTTTCAGTGTAGTCTCATGTTAGGGATTGTCAGGTTCTTGAAGTAGGCGGCAAAGCCAAATGATATATATGATGTTGAAGCCAATGCACGATATTCAACCTCCACGGATGATCGCACTATGGTGGATTGCATCTTGAAACTCCAGAAAATCAATAATGAACCTAAAAAGGTGCAATAACTTGTGGTAGATTTACAGTCTTGGTGATCACCTACCCAATTAGAATTAACATAGGATCAAAGAATGAGTGAATTGGAGGATATAGGTAGACCATAATGCATTGATCCTCTGATGTAGCGTAGGATACATTTAAGTACTTCAAAATAGATATCAATTGGCTGATGCATATGTTGACAAGTTTTGTTAACAACATAGGTAATGTTTGGGCAAGTGAGAGTTATGTACTATAAACATCCTACCAACTGGAGGTAGAGTTTGGGGTTGGAAAACAATGGGGATTGGGTTAGATGTGTTACTTTTACAGTGCTTGGAGAAGCCACTGGCTTGTTGTTAAGCCTTCCTGCCCACTCCAAAATGGTTTCGACATACCGTGTTTGATGTAGAAGTAAGTCGATTGAGGTAGAAATAATAGTGATGCCAAGAAATTGAGATAGTGTACCCAGGTTGCGCATGTTGACTGCTGATGTAGACGGTCAAGTAATTGATGAATGGTTGTAGTGCTATTCACTTTGAGTATGATGTCATCAACATATATTAACAAATACATGGAGGAGTTGTTTGTGCGGTATACTAGCAGGGAAGGATCAGAGTGACTTGCATGGAAGCCCAGGTTGTGTAGAAAACATGTTAAAGTTTTAAACTACTGGCATGGTGCTTACTCGAGTCCATAAAGAACTTTATTTAACTTGCATACATATGTAGGATGGTTCACATTGGTAAACCCTGGGAGGTTGCTTCACGTACAATGTTTCATCTAAGGGGCCATGTAATAACGCTTTAGATACATCTAGTTAATGTATCAGCCACTTGGGACGAAGAGCAATGACAAGTAGTATGCGAACTGTAGGTATTTTTGCTACAAGACAGAATGTCTCAGTGTAGTCGAAGCCAAACTCTTGGTTG